TGGGGGATGTCTGTCCCAAGGATGTGAAGACTTCTCCCATGGGACCGGCAGATGCCGAAGCAGGGGCACTGTGGATCTCTTAGAGCTTGGTCAGACATTAAAGATGGCAAGGTCATCTACTGCATTCCTAGGCCATCATCAGTCATCTTGACTTTTGTCTTGCTACAGGTCTTGGATGACTCTGGAAGAGAGAGGTGAGGCTGAGGAGTTTGTGCAACTCTGCCTCACTTAAATCCAGTCCGTCTCATGATGCCATTGGGCCTCTTCAAAAAGGACAAACAACAAGCCTCTTGTTATATTAAGCCCTTGGGGATGTAGCCAGTCCAGGGATGGGGAACCCGTGCCCTCAGGGCCACATGTGGCCTTCTAGGTCCTCAAGTGCGGCCCTTTGACTGAATCCAAACTTCACAGAACAAATCTCCTTAATCAAAGGATTTGTTCTGTAAAACTTGGACTCAGTCAAAAGGCCGCACTTGAGGACCTAGAGGGCCATATGTGGCCTCAGGCTGCAAGTTCCCCACTCCCTGGACCAGTTCATTATTTCACCTAATCAGCTATTTCTTTTTTGCCCTAATCAAAGAAGTTTATCCCTTGTAAAGAGATCACTGGGTGTAGCCCATCTTGTTTACAAATTTAAAATTTTATCATGCCTTCATATTGATTAATTGAGGTTAGGGTATGGAAACTTCTCCTTAAATAAGGACCAATATTTGAGTGTTTATTAAATTATCTCTGGATTAAAAAGAGGGGAGTGTGTTTGTACATCTTTTTGTGTCTGATTCACAGTTTTTCAGTGGTATCACATACTGCGTAGCAGATGGACTTTTCATGCTTGGTCTACAAAGCTGATTAACGATAAAACAGGTGTTCTTGTTTCTTATAACCAAGAAACCTAACCATTTGGTAATATTATTTTTTAAGAAAATAGTTTCATTTATGATACCTTTATGATATGATATGCCTTATGACTAAATGTACCCATGTATCTGGAATTGACTGCTGGACATACCTTATCTCAGACCTGTCCATGGTCACAGCAGCAGAAAGACACATTTTTGTCTTATGGTAAATGGAATGAATTCTTGTGAATAAACCTAATTAATGGTAAATAGGTGTTCCCAAGTTAGTCTTAGCAATTTCCTTAGTTATAAAAGCAGTATGTCGACTAGTCTGATCTTTTGATTAAAGTGCTTCTCTTGATAACTTAAGATGATTATATCTAATGTAATAGAATCTCTCTCTCTCTCTCTTTCTCTTTCTCTCTCTTCACCAGCAAATTAGAGGATTTAGGGTCCTTACGATATGGATGTAAGAACTTTTTCAACACTAATAATTTCAGTATTATTAAATGGAAATTTTAAACCAACTAGCATGTCCACATGCCAGCATAAACACCCAGCTTCTCCTCTGCCCTCTGTCCCTGAGAAACTTCTTCCCCCCTCCCCTGGGTTGTTTTGTTCCAGCACTGCCCAGGAATTAAGCAATTGCTGCATTACTCTTTAACCTTTTCTTCCTCCTGATTAGGCATTCTCTGTATTATGTTCCTCAAAATGCTTCATTATTGAATATAAAGATTTTTGATACATCTGAAGAATAGTCTTGACCAATTTTGATAATACTTTTTCTTGAAACATAATTTTCCTTTTGAAATTTTGCTCACCTTTCTTCCTCCTCCTCCTCTTCTACTTTCTTCAAACGATCTATCATTTTATTGACCACTCCAGTGGCAAAGCACTGTGCTAGTCCCCTGGGGAATACACAGATGAATAAGGATGTATCCATCCCTTGGGTAATTTGTAATCTAGCAATTTAACGTTTTGTATCATCTTTGTTTTCAAGGAGGAAACTAAAAATACCTCACTTACCTAGAATGAAAAACCAGCTTGCCCAGTTTTGACCTGTTTACACTTTGGTCTGTAATGCTTTGGAGCATCATATTACATTGTAGGCCAAAGTCTACAACACAACTAAGTCTGATGTACACCATGACTTATTAGTCACAGGTTTGTGAGTGTTATAGAAAAAAATATATATCCAATACTCTATTCTACTTTAGTCTCCTCTTATGAAACAGACAGAAGCCTATACTTAGCAAACCACTTATTTTTTCCAAACAAGTTATAACAACAGTATTCTCACCGAGTAAAGCTTTTGTGCATTTCAAGAATCTGGTGGCATCAAAGCAGCCCAAACTGCAAGTGTTTCCATCATTAGAAAAACAATTTGAAATTTAATGTCAAAGAATTACAGTCCTGTGGTCATGTTCACAAATGCACATAGAACACTACAGATTTATGAAGTAATTATTGTAAAACCTAGTCTCTGATATTTCATAGGTCATTAAAAACTAGCACACCATACGGTTTTTTTGAAAAGAGGGTCATTGATGATCGCTTTTATAGTACGTAGATATGTACACATAAAATAAAAAATACAGGTCAAAGAAGGGTCACTAAGAGGTTAAAGGATTTGCCCAGGGTCACAGAATTAATATATGGCAGAGATGGGACCTGAACCAAATCTTCCATACTTTGAGGTCAATTTTCTATCCAACATACCATACTATCATTTATTATTATTGTTTGTTTATTTTTATGATATTGTATTAATCTCTTTTGTTTTGACATTCCTCTAATTTCAGAACATTTCCATTCCTCTTTGGACTGTCTCTTGTAACAAGAACCATCCTTTGTAAGAAATCAAGGGAAACATTTAAATATGAAAAATAAACAAGCATATGAGGGAAGCATGGGGTCCAGGAGGAAAAAGGAATAGGTTTTTGCAGGTCAGAGAGGGGGGAAAGATGTTCTCCAGTCTCCACATAGAGTTGGAGGTCAGGGTTCAAGGCTCACACAGTGAATTTGCAGAGACACTGCTCCCTGTAGATCTGCTGACAAAGTTTGGGCATGTCCTGTTGTGGGAAGCTGAAGCGCTATGACGGGGCCAGCTACTTGCAGTATTGCAATACAAAGAAATTACAGTCACTGTCGTTTTATCTGGCCACGTTCATCTTGAAGTAACTCCCGTCCCTGGTAGAAATCTAGCTGATCCTTCTTCACTGCCTCATCCTGTAGGTACATAACAGTATGCTTGGGACACCAGCGGTTGAGGGTACTCTGTGAGTCAAAATAAGTCATGGTCCCTGCCTCACAACACAGAGATGAGTGACCAGTATAATTCCTGGTACATAGGGATGAGTAGCTATTCCTTGTTCAAGATATCCACATTTTTGGTCTGCCTTTCCCTCTTGGTACAGAGTTTGGCATAGAAGAAACTGCTGAAGAAAAAAACCTTCTCTGGAACAGTGTCCATTACCAGGTCTCCATCCATATTCACCACTGGGTCATTAAGCCAGTTCTGCAGATAAAAGGTCCCCAGGTCATCCATAGTCAGCACATGCTGATAGGCTTATAAGCTACATGAAAGCCTCTCACCATAGTACTGCCTGGCAAACATTGGCATGACTGGATCAACTGCTAATCTAACTCTTTTCTAGAAGGTGCAGAAAACTCTTGCTGGAAAATGCCCTCCAGTTTCTTTACCATTTCGTCTGTGCTAAGAGAAATGAGGCTGCCATAGGTCTCAAAGAATTCATCCAGGATGGTCTGCACATAGGTCATTTGCTCCTCTCAAAGGGATGAGAGAGAGAGAGAGAGAGAGAGAGAGAGAGACAGAGAAGAGCTCGGAAAAATCAACCCAATATATCTGCCATTTTTAACATCATTATTCCCTACCCATATCCCCCCCCCAATTTCTGCAAAGAAATGAAGGAGATGCATTTTCTCAACTCTTCCCCCCATTATAATCACATAAATGATCAGGGCAAAGGGAAGGACGACCACTAAACCCTCTGGGAATTGTAGTTCTTCCCAGTTTGGGAAGAAAAGAAACTAATGGGAAGTCAACCCCCGAATAGGGGAGGAGGCCAAGTCTTGATAGAGAACAGCTATAGCTCATGAGAGACATGAGGAGAGAAGAATATCTGAGTGAGCCCAGGAATGAGTAGCGATCAGCTGTGGAAGCAAGTGACCATGATATCTGCATTTCCTTTTTTTCAGATCCCTGAGATTTAATCTCTGCATGAATAAACAGAGGGATGCCTGACTGTGGGGAAGTAGTAAGGGAAAACAAGACAGGAGGAAAGGGTGGTCTGTATCCTGCCCCTGCCTTACTTCTACTTTATCATGTTTTTTTTAAAAAATATTGTTGGAAGACTACATTTGCCAGATTTATGATACTAATTTTACAAACATCTGCTACTGATTTTGTCTTTAGGTTGTGTGGTGTCCTTTGTTTGTGACTTAAGGGTGTGGAGAGAGCAGTTGTAACAGCTCAGGAGAGAGGTCTTTCTTAGTAGAGGGTCTGGAAGCTAAAACGCATGATTAAAGAATTCTACTCTCTAAATGGGGTCATAGCATGAATTAATTCACAGGAGCAAAATCGCTACAAATCCAGGCTCTAATGCGTAAATCTGCTTTGATTAGGTTTTTTTATTCTTTGCATGTACACTGTGGTAGTCATTGGGTATATTATTTCTTTGATTCTGCTTACTTCACTCTGAATCAGTTCATATGTCATCCCATGCTTCTTTTAATTCTTTGTGTTTGTTACTTATCATAGTGTAGTACTGTTCCATTACATTCATGTAACACAGTTTGTTTCACCATTCCCAAATCAATGGGAATCCACTTTGTTTCTAATTCTTTGCTGCAGCAAAAAGTGCTGCTGTAAGAATTTTGGACTCCTTAAGATAATGTGGGATTGATGAAGTAGTCTAGTTTACAAAATTGATTTTTCAAATTCTTTTCTGAAAACGAGGGAAGGTGAGTGAAAGCTCTTAAGCCTAACAGTAAATTGGGTTAGTATTTACTGAATAACATCTCCGAAATTGAATAAGTTGTTTGAGTAGGCAGGTATTTTAGGCAGACTAGGTGGACATAACTTGGGGGAAAAAATACTCTTAAAATAAAATGTAACCCAGTACCCCTGTTCATTTTCAGAGCCCATTCCTACTCTCTCCTCATGGCAGTGTGACAGCATTGATTCAGATGAAGCCCACCTTTCCCCACAGGCAGGGCGCCTGATCCGCCAGCTTCTAGATGAAGACAGTGATCCTATGCTGTCCCCTCGATTCTATGCTTATGGGCAGAGCCAGCAGTACCTGGATGACACGGAAGTGCCTCCTTCCCCCCCCAATTCACATTCTTTCATGAGGTATACTTTGGTTTGCTGATGATCCTATGTATCATCTCCACAACATTAGAAAGGGTGGGAATGCAGGTTTTTAAAATGTGACTAGTAAATATTAATAAAAATAGAAAAAATGGAAACTCTTTGCTTAACATGAACACCAAACATGGAATTCTTCATTTCCTTGTTTAGAAAAAATGGTCTCCTATTGTTTCCCTTCTCTCTAAATGAAGTCCATTACAACGTCTCTGTCTCACACCATGAGATTGACCTCCCTTCCCCCATGAGAACATAGGTTTTATTAGAGTCATAACCCTTTAGAACCAGGTTGGAATGTGGCCAATAGTAATCATCATAGTTTGATTTAAATACCTCTTTTTCCTAAGAAGACACCCAAACAAAAATGAGAAAAAAACACCATGTCCTCTGTGAGACAGGGTAAGAAGTCATGAAAACGACAATCATCTCCATTTAATAGTAGGAAATATGGTATCTAAGGCCGCACAGCTAATGATTAATTTCATTTCTTTCAAGGGAACAGAGAAAAGTAGAACTTTGAATGTATGCCACATGGTATGCACTATCCCTACATTTCAGTGCCCTCAAATGTAACCCTTTTTTATGTTCCTAATAGGAGAAGGAGCTCTTCTTTGGGATCTTATGATGAAGACCAAGAAGACTTAACACCTGCACAGTTAACTCGGCGGATTCAAAGCCTTAAGAAAAAGATCAGAAGGTTTGAAGAGAGATTTGAAGAAGAAAGGAAATATAGGGTAGGAGTCTACATATACCTCTCCCTTCTCTCTCCAACTCATTGTTGACAGTAGTAAGACATAGCAACAACACAAACAATAAAATAGAAGATCCTCAAATTAATGGAGATTTTTGGTGGAATCCTCAATAGAAAATCAAAATGGAGTACACAGTGTAGCATATGGTCTGGAGCTACTCTTTCAACTGCCACTTAGACCAGTCCCAAAGGGTGGTTGCTCCTTCTCCCTCCAGAGTTCTAGAGGTAGGCCTGAAGGATTGGGGATCAGTTTTCATTAGTCATAGCTAATGAGTCCTCCCTGATGTACTTCCCTTCCATAATTATCAGTTGACAGTTAGAGTTTTAGTTTTTAGAAAGCAGTATCTACTAAGGTGGTATTGCAAGAACAGTTCATATAAAACATTGACCCCAAAATCTATGACACATTCGTCCACCAATAAATGCAGAAGTAAGGGAAATTGGACTCAAACTTAGACACAGCTCCTAGAAGTCCTTCTGTTTAAGTCCTCAATATGTTTCCCTTGGAAATGGTGTAAATGTTCTGCTGTACTCCTTGTATAGCCCTGAATCTGCCTTTCCTGACCAACCAGTCTGTGCTGAGCTCCTGAGAACACTGCCACTAGCTATTTCTGTCCCACAGTATTTCTAGTACACCAATGAAAAGTCCAAATCCTCTGATCCTCCAAAGTTCACAAAGTCTTCTTCCAGCCAACGTGATATGGAGGCCAAGGCATTCTTTGCCACTAAGAAATTCCTTCTCACAAGTTTTGCTAGAGATTTCCACCACTAAGCTGCTACACACTTAAATCTCTGAATCCAAAATAGTTTCTTGGTTTTATATAAGCCCTACAGGGTATAACCAACTCCCTCCTATCCAAACAGATCCTAACAGTCTTCCTGTCATACCCATTTGAAATGCCTTAGTTGAACTCAGTTCAAACTTCGAATTGATTCATTTGATATATGCTGTCATCTGTCAAGGTATCAAGGTGTTGTGTCTTATAAGTTACTTTAAGGGTGGAGTAGGGTGAACTGCTTGATTGATTTAATCAACTCTCATCTTATTATACTAGTAACCGTTGTATAATGCATCAGCATTTCCTAGGAAGTTTTCTCAAAAGCATCACAAATGGTATAATGAACTAGCTTTATTCCTTGTCAGTGAGAAGCCAAGAGAGACAAAGTGCTGAAAATATAGCAGTAAAATCTCATTTGGTTAAAACAATTCAATATTGTCTTCTTTTGAGATTTATGGAGTACATTCTCCAAAAAAAATACTATTAACTCTACCCTTTTTAGTAATCACCAGGATAGACATAGGAAAGCAGCTGTCGTGACTTGGATCGGTATTTTGCCACTCCCTTAAATAGACCAAAACACTTAGAAACATATGATGGCTGAAAATGACTTACAAAGGGAACACAGGCATACAGAATGAGAAGCATAGCTGTAGAGAAGTAGATAAAAAGGATCATAAAATAATTATGTTAAAGGACAGCCAGGTGGATCATAGCTCATTAAGATGCCAGAAGAGTCTCTTGTTGCCTTAGATTTGGTCACATAATAATTTCCTACACTGTAAATGTACTTCAGCTTCCTTTTCCTTTTTAAAATGCAGTGGATGGAGCAAACAATTCTTTTTCCAACCCTGAAGTAGTTAATCTAGACATTTTTCTTTTAGCCTTCCATAGTGACAAAGCAGCCAATCCAGATGTTTTGAAATGGACAAATGACCTTGCAAAATTCCGGAAACAACTGAAAGGTAAGAGTTCAAACCGTATAGATACCCTAGTATAGAATCATGCTATTCACTCAATCTTGAGGGGGACCCAAAGGTATACCAGGGAGTTAGGATTCCTGAGAAGTACTACTGACATTTCTGTGATGCATTCTTCTACCACCATTTTCCCAAGCAGTCCCAATAACAGGAAAACATAGGTCTGCCAAGATGGTAAATTCCAAAGAAGGCATATCATTTACTCAAGTCCTTGGTACGACCTTACTTCTATGCCGTATATGGTTACCCTGGGTTCTCAAAGGCTGTGCCAGTGGAATTAAAGCTCCAGAAAGTCCTGTCAAATTAAAGCTCTAGAAGGTCCTATCAAATTAGAAAAACTTTGTGATGTCTCAGTCAGGTATTAACTATTTGATGTCTAAGGATAAGCAAAGTTTAGTTTGAAAGTGCTCATTACTGGGTTGGCCACAGGGGAATTTTGTTTTGGCTACAGTTACACTCAAAGATACTCTACAAAATCATAGATGACTATGTTCTATGTCAATAGAGGGAGTGTGTCAGCAAAATATTGAAGTAATATTAGGATATTTAACTCAGATATAGTGGTTGAGCTAATTAAAGCTACATCAGAGGTTCGAGGTACATGTCACTGCAAATCTCCAAATAATCCAAGAGATTTTATCATTATCAAGGGTTTACTTATCCGGGTTATTCAACCTAAGCCTTTCAACCTAATCTTACAATTAAATATTGCCTGAGAAAGAGAAATGGAGCCAAGACAACTGCTAACATTATGTCTGTAGAAATCAGTTCTTTTTCATTCTTGTCTTTTTTTTTCCTCTTTTTCTGCACTTGTGACATTTTTATGGTCTGTTTTTGTGAAGGTGCTGGGCACAGCTGAGATTAGGCATATTTCATTCTATTCCCATTCAGTATTCTCCAGAGGTCTACCATATCTAATTTTTCTAAAATTCTATAAGGTCCTCCCTTTATTTTTAATTTATTTTTGGTTAGATTTATCTGAAAGGAGTAAATTGAGGTCCCCACTATTAAGTTTTTACCATCTAGTTCTCCTTGTAACTAACCCATTTAAATTTTCCTTCAAGAATTTAGATGCTCTGCCATTTAATACATATATGTTTAGTATTGATACTAATTAATTGACTATTATATCTTTCAACAAAATATAATTTCCCTATTTATCTCTTTTAATTTGGTCTCTTTTTTGTTCTTTTGTTCTGAGATCATAACTGATATTCCTTGTTTGACGTATAATAAATTCTGCATCCATCTTTCTGTTTCAAGTGTGTTTCTTGTAAGCAAATATTGTTCGATTCTGGCTCGTAATCCATTCTGCTATCCTCTTTTGTTTCATGCCATTCACATTCACAGTTATGATTGTTAATTGTATATTTTCCTCTGTCTTACTCTCTTATGTTTTTCCTTCTTTCTGTTTCCTGCTCCCTTTAAAAGTGTATTTTACTTCTGACTACTCCCTCCTTTAATCCACTCTTATTCTTATGTTTCCCTTTTCCCTTAACCCCTTTCCTTATTGTTTTTCTGTTTGGTGAAATATATTTCCGTACTCAACTCTGTGTGTGTATGTGTATGTGGGTGTGTTTGTGTACTCTTCCCTCCTTTAGCCAATTCAGACAAGTGAAGTTCACGTATCTCCTGCTCCACACACACACACACACACACACACACACACACACACACACACACCCTACTCTTTGCCATATAGTCTACTTCTGTGCCCAAATTATGTGAGATAATTTCCCTCCACTCTTTCTCTCACTTCCCCCCTCCCAGTGCATTCCTCTTTCCTTCCCTTTCCATTCTTCTTTTAAGATCATCAAAACATAACACAACCACCCCCAGGCCTTCTATCTGCAGTTAGACTGCATCTGTGATCCCTGATGATGACAGAGTTCTAAGAAGATACATGTGTTATCTCCCCATATAAAATTTTAAGCAACTAATCTTTGTGTAATCCTTTATGATTGCTCAGTCATGTTTAGCTTTTTATTCTTTTCTTGACCCCTGGGTTTGCACTTCAGATTTTTTATGCAGTTCTGTTCTTTTCATCAAGAAAGCTTAGAAGTCTTCTTATTAAAGATCCATTTTTTTTCATCTCTAGGATTGTATTCAGTTTTTTGGGGGTAAATTATTCTTGCCTGCAAGCCTGGATTTTGGATGTAATGTTCCCGGGAATTCTCATTTTGGAAGTTCCTTTATGGGATGACCATTGGATTCTTTCTATTTGTCCTCTGGTTCTAAGAGATCTGTGGAGTTTTCTTTTATGATTTCTTGAAATATGATTTCTGGTCTCTCTTTTTTGATCATGGCTTTCAGGTAGTCCGATGATTCTTAAATTATCTGCCTTCATTTTGTTTTCCAGGACAGTTGTTTCTGTTATGAGATACAACACATTTTCTTTTATTTTCTAGTCTTTTGATTTTCTTTTGATATTTCTTGATGTCTCAGGGAGTTTCTGTTTGGTCCATTCTAATTTTCACAGAGTTATCTTCTTAGTTAGGGTTTTGTCCCTCTTGTTCCAAGCTGTTTTTTGAAATAAACACTTATAAATTGCCTTCTGCAAAGCAAGCTTTATGCTAAGCCTTCAGGATGCAAAAAGAGGCAAATGACAGTCCTTGCCCTCAAGGAGCTTACAGTCTAATGAGAGAGACAATGTACAAACAAATTCTTTTTTTTTCTATAGCTTTTATTTTTTCCCATTTTTTTCTTCTACCACTCTCATTTGGTTTTAAAATAATTTTTAGCTTTAAAAAAAAAATCTCCCTTTACCTCTTCAGGAATTCCCATTGAACTTGTGCCCAAGCTATATTTTTGAGACTTTGCCTGGAAATGTTTTGGAGTCATTCTCTTCGGGGTTTGTCAAGTCTCCCTGTCACCACAACAGCTCTTTATGATGGGATTTTTTTTGTTTGTTTGCTCATTCTTATGGCCTAATTCTTTGCTTTGGCCTTTTTTCTTAGGGCAGGGCTGCAAATCGCTGAGAGGAATGTCTGGGCTGAACTTTTTCCGTCTTTAGCCCTTCTGCTGCTTTCTTGGGATGTTGAGAATTGCATTATTCCAAGATCTCAGGGACAGTTCAGGCTGGGGATTTGAAAAGTGTTAGTGCTTCCACAGTGATGTGGCCTAGGGCAAAGTCTTCTCAGTAACCTCCTGGTCTAAGCTTTGCAAGTTCCTGACCCAGCTGTTGGGTCTCAGCAAGACAACTATTGGCTTATGCCCTAGTTGGAGGTTCTGATAGGTCGCTGCTGGATTCAGCTCTGTCAGCCTTCTAGGAAGCTCTACAGGTTCAGAGCACCAGAACTGCACGTTTCCCTCTGGTCCGGTATTCCTGCCTTGGGTATTTCACTGGAGAATTCAGACAAGGCTGGATGTTGGAACTCTGTCTTTGCTTTGCTTCTGGGGTCAGAATCACAAAGCTACTGTTTGCTTAACTTGTTCCTTATGCAGGACATAGCTAGGGCCCATGACCATTCTGCCACACCTAGGCACAATTCCCTCCTTAGTCCACCATGAGTCTGTTTCCCAGAAATGGGTACTAAGTGGCAGAACTGCAAGATAGCACCCATTCTTATAACTTGCATTAGTTCAAGGACCTCTGCAACCTCTTCCACAGCTTGGGCCTCTTTCAGTCCCTGGGTGCTGGGAGGCTGTGAATTCCTGGCCTGATGCCATCTCCAGTGTCTACAAACCTCTCTTTCTCCCTGTGCTGACCTGCATTGGAAAAACATGATTTGCTGTGATATTTTTCTTGGATTTCCCAATCAGGATTCTTTCCGGTTTATAGCTGACATAGGTTATGATTTTGCTAGAGGTTTAGGGAAGAGGTGTGGCAGGGAGCGGGGCTGTGCTTCTTTCTGTTACTTTACCATCTTGACCCTGCCTCTCATTGTTTTTGGTAACTAGAGTCAAAGCTAAAGATATCTGAAGAAGAACTGGTTCCCCAGATGCGTCAGCGAAGCAACACTCTCCCCAAGAGTTTTGGCTCTCAGTTGGAGAAGGACGATAAGAAGCGAGAGATGGCGGATAAAGCAATGAAGCCTACTGTTGAAGCTACCCTGGAATCTATTCAGAAGAAGCTGCAAGAGAAGCGGGCAGAGACCAACCATCCTGAGGACATCAAGGTATGGCAGCGAGGGGGAAATTTTTTATTTTATTGTATTCAGAAATGTGCATCGAGTCCCTACTATGTAGCCTTCCCAGTGCTATGTAATAGTGCCCCATGAAGCAGAGCCTGGAATGCTGGGACCTTAAAAATATGGTAGATATAACAGAAATGGTAGTCAGTAGAGAATGATTATTCATATATACATCTTCTATATAAGCCATTATGTAACCTAATCCTCCCCCTTAGACTGTGGGTCCCTTGAGAGCAGTGACCTTTTTTTTTGTTTTTCTTTGTATCCCTAGCACTTAACACAGTACCTGACACTTCAATAAATGCTTCTTAACTTGACTAATATCATAACTTTAGCTGATTCCAATGATTGTTATAGAAAAAGAAAAATCAACCACTTGTGTTCTAGATTTTGTGCAAAGAAATTCATTGGGGCAAGTTAAGCAGCATGATATAGTGGAAAGACCTCTGGTTCTGCAGTTGAGGGCTTGGGTTTGAATCCTACCTTTGATACTGGGCAAGTCACTTAATTAACCTCCTCATCTGTAAAATGAGAAGGCTGTTCTGGATCTTCCCTTTCAAGTCTAGATCCATCATCCTGTGTTTGTATTTGTGTTACAACTTAACTGGTGATTCTCTGTGATGAATTTAAGCACAATCAAACTCTTAAACCTAAGCAGAATCATTCCTATTAGGAATGGAATATTACCCTAAGACATCTTGGCTGTTACAAGGGCCTGACTCTTCACTGCAACATGGAGATACTTTCAGTGGTCATTTCAGCCACATCCTGCTCTTCATGACCACATTCTTCCTGCTTCCAAGCCCAGTGCTCTATGCATTGCACCACCTAGCTGCCCTCAGAGCTCAATAGCTGTTCGTTATTGGTGGTGGTACTGTAATGTTATCGTACCCTGACGGTATCTTGTTCACGGGACCACCATTAGCCAACTTCAGAATAAGCTGTGAGATAAGGGAACCGATGGAATACTAAGTATTTAGGTTTTTATTGGGGGAAATCATTTAAATTGAGACTCCGAAATATTAACAAATATTAAATTTTTTTCTTTCCTTTTTCCACCATATAGGACATGACTAGAGACCAAATTGCTATTGAGAAAGTGGCTTTGCAGAAATCTTTGTTGTATTATGAGAGCATCCATGGAAGACCGGTATGTAAGCTGCTCTGTCTTTCCAGCTTGGGAGAAAAATCAGTTTTCAAGGAAAATTTAGTAATGTGAAGATTTAGTAATATGAAGATTCTTTCTGCCTTAATGAAAATCAGAGATCAGTGAGGTTGACTGAGAAGCTCTGGACCAGCAGTCTGTGTCTGGCTTGGTCAACTCAACTCTCTCACCTTCTCTGTTATTGTTTATAAAATAAAGGGATTAGGCTAGATGATTTCTGTGGTCCTTTCCAGTGGGATGATCTAGGTAATGAAGCTTCAAGTTGATATGGTAGCTATAATTGCCTTTTTGAGATAATGATCCATTCTTCACACCACTATTGGATTGAGCTTCCTTACATGTGATCATGTTATTCTCTACTCAGAACCCTTCCTGTCTCCCTCTTGCCTGCTGAATAAAATACAGATTCTTGGCATTTGAGATTTTCTATAATGTGACATTATTCTTTCTACCTTTCCTGTCTCCTACTACCACCACCTCCTCAGCCCATCCCCATGTGCTTCCTGAAGCTGGACTTTGGCTGAATTTGGAGAACTGAAAATAGCCTGTATAACATCTCTTACCTTCTCTCTTCTGGGCCTTTGCCCAGATTGTTCCATTGGCCTGGAATGTCCTGTCCTTCCTACCTACCTGTGGAAATTGTACCCGTCCTTTGAATCCCAGATCAAGTGCTATATCCTCCACAAAGACTTCCCTGATCCTTCTAGGTGGTAATGGTCTTTCCTCCACTTGAGCCTTTTATTCTTGGAAGCACTGAGACATCATTATTTTTTATTAGAGTTACTCTGTATGAATCATATTCTCCTACTAGGTTAGTATCAGGTGTGTTGGGGCAAGAGCCATGCCTTATCGATATTCTCTCTTCCCCATTGCCAAACATATCATCCTGTCTGTAGTATGAACTTAAAAATGCTTAACTGAAGTTCAATTCATGAAAACTTTAAGCAGGGATTTCATTTTTCTTTTTTATAATAGGAAACCCCTTTTTTCACCAAGGCGACAAGTTTGACTTGTTTCATTTATTGTCAGCTTTGTGCCCAGAACTTCCCTAGATACTCTGAGGCGTACAGAAAAATGCTTTTCCTTCTTTGCCTGTAATCATGGTTTCTCTCTTCCCAATCTCAGGCTCCTATAATCCGTAGTGTGGTCAAGCAAACAATCTAGAATCCCTAAGGCTAACTTCATCATAGGACAATGAGTTGTATAACTGAGTTGTCCTGTAACCAGAAGGTGATCTTTTTCCAGGTCTTGTTTCAAACATAGAATTTGTTATAAAAATTCTTTTTAAAATATGAGTTCAGTTGAGATAACTTGGGTAGGGAATGGATAAAGGGTAGAATGTGAATCAGGGTTTGAGAATATTAAATGGTTTTAAGAGAAAGAAACTTCTGGTTTCAACTCTTTGATGATAGATAGTCCTGCATTTAAGTAATAGTTCATCTTTGCCTCTGGAATTAATTTTATTGAAAAACAACATGGTAGAATGAATAGAAGTTGGCCTTCAGAGTCAGGAAGACCTGAATTCTAGCCCTGCCTCTAGTATATAGTGGTTCTTTGACCTTGGATGAGTCACTTAACTTCCTCAATACTCCAGGTGACTCTTTAAGACTATAAATTACATATTTAAAAGAAATAGCAAGCTGTACATAATAGATTTGCAGGTTCATGTACAATCATCTTTTATTCCTATCCTATGTTTATGGAAATACTTGTTTTATTTCTTAAGTTCAGAATAAAATAAATTTTTGAAAATAAAGGTTAAACTTCTCTTAAAAAGAAGACTGTAAGTTATAGAACATTCGCAGATTTTCATTGGTAGGAAGGAGTTTCTTCTAAGGGAATTAAATTAAATATTTGAACCAGAAAAAAATTAAAATGTTTTAACAGATAATTTTCAGGGTGAACTATGCCTTCCATGGGAGTTCAGAATTCAGAACTCTAGAGTGGCAAATGAAATTGCTTCATGTTGATATATGTTTATTTTTCCTCTGGACACTGCTTTTAATATTTTTAGCCCTTCTACCCAACTCTTTGCTCAGTTTTCTTGTTGTTTGCTTATCAGTATGCTTAATTCATATTTAATAAATATCTCCAAATGAATAAACAAGCATTTATTAAGTGCTTACTATATTCTAGGCACTATGCTAAATGATGGGGGTACAAATACCACAAGCAGGACAGTCTCAGCCCTTAAGGAGATTTTTTTTCTACTTGAGAAAGACAAAACATACAGAAGAATGGTGGCAAGGAAGGACAAGACAAACAGGATGGTGATTGGAGTCCGAGAGAGAGGGCAATAGATATGTTGGTTTGATTACTATTCTCAGAAATGAAGCTGGAAGAGATTGGGTGCTAGTAGCGTAGTAGGCCTGAGGCCACTCAAAGAAGGTGGCAGCTCACCAGTGAAAACCGGCAATCACAGGGGTGACAGAGTCAACCCCACTCCTGCCTACGTGTGTGAAATGGGGATAATAACCACTTAACTCACAAGGTTTTTGTGAGGATTAAATGAGATAACTTAGAAATCATTTTGCACACCTTGAAGCATGACATAAAAGCTATTATTATTATTATTATTATTACATCAACCTTGCTTATAAAAAGTTCAGTACTGGTGTTAAATCTAATGTTCATGTATATGCCCAAATTGAAATAGAGCCTATTCATCTACCCTACTCATCCCTCTTGGCCACCAGGAACCTTTATTAGTATACTTTTCATCACATAAGTTAGATTGCCCAAAGTCACTTCCATGTCATGATGATTCATTGTAAGAGAATGCTAGTGGATCATTTCTACTTTGCTTCAGAAAATCCCTAGCATTGGAAATACTGATTTCTATTTCACTTTCTAATCCACACTTGATGATATGGGCTGTCTTGTCAGCATTATGGCAAAAGGTAGACAAAGATTAATAAATAGGTAACTTTCATTTCCAGCTCTAAGACTAATTGAAGGCCTTTATTATTTAAAACAAAAAGGCAAATGCACAAGTGTAAATGTTTAGCAAGTCTATGTAACAAGTAAGGTTTGTTATATACCATTGTTAGGTACCGTTATGTGGTATTCATCAGTTTCACAGTATGGAAGATTTGTCTTCTTATAAGCAAAAAACAAAAACAAAAAACAGTACTTTATTTCCTTTGTAAACATAAATTTTAAATTAATCCCTTAAGGATCAGGCAGCTAGGTGGTACAGTGGATAGAGTGCCAGGCCTGGAGTCAGGAAGACTCATTTTCCTGAGTTCAAATGTGGCCTCATATGTTTACTATGTGATCCTGAGCAAGTCACTTAACCCTATTTGCCTCAATTTCCTCATCTATAAAAAATGAGCTGGAGAAGAAAATGGCAAACCACTCCAATACCTTTGCCAAGAAAACCTCAATGGATTCACAGAGTCAGACAGGACTGAACAAAAACAACAAAACCCTTTAGAGGTTAAGTATTGTTTCAAGGTTTAGAGAGAATGTAGTACTTTCCGTAAAGATAAATCAATCACAAAAGATAAACGGCTTTCAAATCCAGCCTTTGTAATGTTTCTTCTGTTAATAAATAGTGGGTAATTGATTAGGATATCCTTTCCAAACTTTGTAATGTTTATCTAATGGGTAAACTGAAGGAAAATAAAGTCGGAATAGAAAACCAACAAAAGATTTAGATTGGTAAGATGGCAATGACAAGTTTTTTATTTCTGTATTTCATTGATTCTGAAGCAAAAGTGTGTTTTAACTTGCTGCCTAGCCTGAAAAATCAAGCAGTACCAGTGCTTCAACTCCACAAACATTGAGTGGCTAGAAGACTGACTTCAGAGCCAGCAAAACCCGGGTTCAAGTCCCATCTTCAAAATATATTGGCAGTGTGACTTTGAGCAAGTCAACTTAACCTCTCCATGTTCTAGGCAACTGTAAATTGCTAAGAAGGAGCCAGCCTCCAGTGTTAGAGAACGTTTCTTCATCTAGGATTTCCTGATACTAATGAAATCACAAGTCTGGTCCCCATCTGTAACTTTACTATGTGCCAGGCACTGTGCTGGGCACAGGCATTAAGAGACAGCCAAGGAGCTTAATACTACTACTGAAATAAGCAGCATATACTCATTTTGTATGTAGAGTCATTTTGGGGTGAGAGAGCATTAAATACAGAGGAAAGCCTTGTGTCTGCGGTGGCATTTGAGCCGATTTTGGAACAGAGCTGTGGGTTCCCAGAAATGAATGTGAGGAGAGAGTCTGAAGGAATAGAGGTGACCCAAAGGCGGCAGCTGGAGTGGAATGTGAGGGGAGGATCGAGGAGGTCACAGTGACCAGGAGAACCAATATGGGAGGAGAGGAGTAAGATAAGAGCAACTTGAAGAATCAGCTGGATCCAGATCATGAAGGGCTTTTAAGACTAAAGTCAAACATCTGAATTGATATTTTAAACTAGTAACTTTCAGGGTCACCAAACTTATCCACAGTTCAGTTAGATGGGGACTTTGAGGTCAGATCGTTACTACAGAAATACCCCTGAGGTTAATCTGGGGAACCAAAACTCATCCACCACAACTATTCCCACTACTACACAACTAAAGAAGTATCTCAATGTCACATCTCATTGCGATTTCGACGTATTGTTGATCGACCTACAAATGCTAATTAGCAAAAAACGTTTTGGCATAAGAGAGCCAAGAAATTACAGTCATGTAAAGAGAGCTATGAATAATAGAACATGGTAGAAGTTTTCAGAGCCATGGATGTGTCTTTGAATTGAACTCTGAGAAATGCATTCAGTCTGTAATGCAATCTCTCATACTCACATAAAAACTGAGACACGCTCTGATTCCATTTCACATCGATCCCCTGGATGCATTTTTCAGTCCAGTTAGACTGGCTTTCTTGCTGTTGCTTACACACAGTATTTTCACTCCATGCCTTCCAACAGGCTGCCTGTCCCCCATACGTATCAATCTCTCCCTCTTCACTTTTACCTCCTAGAGTCCCTAGCTTCCTCCAAAGTTCAACCCCATGCCACTTCCTGGATTCTCCTGCTACCTGAAATATCTTTTATTAAGGAAACTAGGGAGAGGAGCTAGACCTCAAGTGTTTTTTCAGTAGAATGTAAATCTCTTGAAATGAGAGACTGGTTTGTTTTTGCTTTGTGACCAGAGAGGCAGCCTGGAGTAGTAAGTAGAGGGATGGCCTCAGAGTCAGAAAGACCTGAGGTCAAGCCCATCTCTGGCACAAGCTGTGCTCACACACGTGCTGATCTGCATTGGTGAGGGGAGTGTCCTCACCTGGAGTTCCCTAAGCCAATGAAGTTATAGATCCAGTCCCTATACCTCCCTAGTGGTTGGCGCATACCTCCCTAGGTGCTTAATAAATGCTTATCTGATTGATTGATTGATTGATTGATTGATATTGACTAGTTCAATGCTTAGCCACAGTCTCCTTCCAAGTTTTTCCCATTATTCCATGGCCTACAACTCGACTGGTCAGCAGTGAAAGGTCTAATGTATTCTACTTAGGAACATTTAAGACATGCCTATAAATTCAAGGTTGGAAAGTCTGATGGGGCAGGTTGCTACAGATAGGAATCTTTACCCTTTCCCACAGCCTTCTTGCTGAATAAAATTTAAAAAATGACATGTACAGACAAACCCAGCCAGGAATGCTAAGTCTGTTTTTCTGTTGGGATCTACAAGGTTAGTTGAGTAATTAAGGGTCACATGTGTTTATACATGAGTATCACGTGGGGCTTCATCACCTAAGCTTGAAAATGATGCTATTAAAAGCCTGATATGATTTACTGATTTTATCTTAAATGTCTGTTGATAAAACTTATTGACAAAATGGTAGGATTTACATAAATAGTTATTAGCAAGAAGATTTATGGCTTGGATTGAATAATTTTCCTTCTTACCTGTGATCCTTTAACCCTACAGCTCTGCTTACTAAGATAGTTGGCATCACAAATCTGGGAGAAAGGTGAACTAATTGTCCTGTTCTTATTTTTCAGGTAACAAAGCATGAACGTCAGGTTATGAAGCCATTATATGACCGATATCGGTTGGTCAAACAGATCCTGTCCCGGGCCTACACCATTCCCAGCGTTGTAAGTAAAATAACTTCCTAGCTTTTGGTATACAGGTGACTTTCTAAATCCCCATTACTATCTTTTAACAGCCTAAGAAATTTCTTCTTTTTTTTAATTTTTATTTTCAATTCTGGGAACAAAACAAGCATTTCCATGACACAGTACAGTTAAAAAAGATGGTTGCACATGAAACTGCAAATCTACCATATGTACAGCTTGCTATTCCCTCCAAATATATAATAAAGTTATCATGTAAATTTCTTTTTTTCCCTTTTTTATTCCCTCCCCACCTACCCCTGATGGCTGCCATTAGACACAAATAGGTATATATACGTGTGTGTGTGTGTGTGTGTGTGTGTGTGTATACACACACACATACATGCATATATACACAGACACATATATACATGTATACATACAAACACATATGGGTATGTATGTTATACACATGTAAAATTATTCTATACATGCTTGTATTTATCAGTTCTTTCTCTGGATGAAGATAGCATCTCTCTTCATATGTCAGCCTAAGAAATTTCTAGCCAGCTAATTGGAAGAATGAAGAATTCATTACAAACATCTATGGCTACGTTTGCCATAAATGGGCAAAATTGATCAAGTGAAGCCTATGAGATTCCCCCCCTTTAAAATATCCAATTTTTAATCATCACCTTCAGTTATTCAGTTTTGTCTTCTAGATTATGATTTTTCCTGCCCCTTTGGGTAATGTATTTTGCCCACACGTATAATTCTATTGACATCCCTGAAATCCACACTCTAAATTTTATATCTATGTGGACTTATGCAGGAACATTAGTGGCGCTCAATGCTCCCTCATAAGTGAAGTCAAAGCTAAACCAGTAGCAACCCCAGGCCTCCCCCTCCCTATGAAGGGAGTTTGTAATCCTATCACAGCCTCTATGAAACTCTTACCCGAGGAAAGAATTTGTCCTTCTTGGGATTCTGGCTTCAGGAACACAAACTCCTACTTGTAGCAAGAGAGGTGGCCTTCATAGAGGGTTGAAAGGGAGTGTGGAGAGAAAAGGGAAGACAGTAATTTTAGAAGGATTGTGAAATGATCCTGTTGTCCACAGCACTTGGCTATTTTTGGTACGGTCTCCAGTCCTTTGACCTGTGTATTCCAGTTGTTTTATGTTAAAGAATTCCCTAGAATGGTGGGGAAAGGCTTCAATATGTTGGCCAACTTCCACTTTTTGTTTGGAAGGTAGTATCTTCTTCTGCATACACAGGTGATACCTCGGTCTTGAGAAGAAGGGCATACGTACACACATACACACACACACACACACACACACACACACACACACACACACTGTCTCTACTATCTCCTTCCTTGTCGACCAGGGAATTCCTGATGCCAGCCTTGTTTCAATGCTATCGTTGTCAAACACCTTTAGGACTACTAATACATTCATGACAAATCTTGAAAACATCTCTCAGTGGAACATCTTGTTACTTTATGTTGTGATTAAAATTCATATACAGTGTTAGGTTGAATTTGTTTTTTTCTGACCCTGAAACTCCTTTGCTATTCTTGTGATTACATTCCTCCCTAGGGACTTCTTTTAATAGAGTAGCTGTTCATCACAATAGAATAGTTGGGGAGACATCAGATCTAACCAGCCACCTTAGATACATTTCAGCAGGACCCTTTCCTAGCTAGATATTGTAAAATTAAATTAAATGAACAAATAAATAAGTGGGTTAAACTCCACAATTCTTATTTTCCTCTAAAGAGAAGCTAATGTATAAACTAGTGGCTGAACTAAAAGAAAGGAGAGGGATGGGGGAGAGAGGAGGAAGAGAAAGTGATTCACAATATAACGTACTTGTTAATGTTTGCCACAGGGTTCCCCTTCCAACAAAAGGAGAAGTCCTTTGCTACAACCAATTATTGAGGGTGAAACAGCTTCCTTCTTCAAGGATATAAAGGTAAAAATATCAGACTGCTAGTAACTAGTCCCAGCAAGTCCCTGCCCCTCACATTAATGAAAACTGTATTGATATTTGGACTCCAGTATTACTTCTTTGTAATGTCTCCAGAAAATCATTAATTGCAGGAACATAGTCAACTTTGAACAATTTTTTTTCTTTTTATCGTAGATTAGCTTATTTCTTTTGCTTGATTTCCATTAAAAAAAACTTTTCCATAAAGAGCGTTTGTTATACCTTGGTATTTGATTTCATAATGAACACAAGCTTCTGGAATGAACTTTCTTCTTCCAAGTCTCTCCACCTTCTACATAGTGGTAGTTCATTTAGCAGCTGAGATCACACTTTTCTACCTGTGCTGGGATTTTTCTCCTGCTCTGTATCTTCCTAAGTAGATTTCTAGAAAAAGCACTATTTTTGCAATATTTTTCATATATGAGGATGGTACTTCTGACCTACCCTCAGTACAACGTGTGATTTGTATTCTTTATCTAGTTGCAGTGATAGAGCTATAAAAACTATCTACTTTCTGTGGCCAGTCCCCTCTGCATCCATTTGCAAGACTGTGTACAGGGTGGGGAACCTTTGGCCAAGTGTGGCCTTCTAGGTTCTCAAGTGCAGCCCTTTAACTGAATCCACACTTCACAGAAGAAATCCCCTTAATAAAAGGAGTTGTTCGGTAAAACTTGGACTCAGTCAAAAGGCTACATCCAAGGACCTAGAAGGCCACATGTGAGCTCAAGGTCACAGGTTCCCCATCCCTCATCTAGATTTATCAAACAGTTTTTTTTTTGTTATTGTTGTTGTTGGGTTGTGTTTGGGTTTTTTTGGTTACTTATAACTGACCCGTAAAGACATTAGCTCCGTTTACCCTGACTTTGTTGATATCACATTCCAAAACGAAACTCAGATTTATCACTCTTGGTCTTTGCTAGCAACTCTTGAAAAAGCCATGTGGCTGATGAAGACACTAGCGAGGTTTCAGATTCTCAGATGTTTTCATTTATCTTTTGCAATGATTATCTGAAGTGGGACGTAGTTGTATTTTAGCTCTCATCGAGTTGTTTGTTGGCTAATTCAAATGCCATATTTTTTTTCCTGTGAATTTCGACTCTTGTATATGAAAATTAGAGCATGATTCTGGTATATGCATGAGATAGAGCTGTTACTACATAAGAAAACTTGCTGTTGGTAACATTCAGAATTTGATAATACTTGCCCTACCACATGAACTGTGGACATACTTCCAACTTGTCATTAGAAAGAAACCTTTAAAAAGTCTTACCCTATAGTTGAAACCATCTTCTTACCCTCTTCCAGTTGGTGTAATGTAAGGGAATTCATTCCATTTCTAGACATTTCTAATTGTGTGTGCATTTACACATATATTTACATATTTATTTATGTTTATGGATTTCTCTTGTACATGCCTCTCAGTACCTTCTGCCCATTGGTCCTAGTTTTAACTTTACAAAGTCCAATCTTTCTTCCACGTGGCGGCCTTCGAATGTGGGGGAAAAGCTAATTTGTTTACTCCCAAGTCTCTCTAGGCCAAACTCTCATTCCATTGACCATTCTTTATATGATGCAGTTCAAAATCATTTCATTATCTTAATTGCCGCCCTCTGAACACGCAATTTGTTTAAAGCATGACATTTTTGATAAGTGCAGAGCACGGTGAGTCTGTTGCCTCCCTTGATGTGGATATTATATTTACATTAATGCTGCCTTGAATCACATTAAATGTTTTATCAGCCAAGATTCATAGGTCCATAGGTTTGAGAAGCATGCTTTCTTCTAATTCAAGTGTCAGACTTCAGGACCCAGTGTATCTGGAACCAGATTAAAAGGTAATTGGGAAATGTTTGACAAAATTAATAAAAATACACTTTAACATAGATAATGTTAACTGGTGGTTGTCTAAGTCAATATGCAGCCAGCAAGGATCTGCTCCTGTTTGAGTTATTGGCAAAAATGTTGGATAAGACAGAACCTACCAAGAAAGAGGCATATAATACCAGTGTTAGGGGGTGGTATTAATCTGTTAGTCATACAATCAACTGTGAATCCACCATAGTGGATCTAGGCCACATTCTTCTGTCTTATCAAACTAACTGACGTTTATATAGTACTTTTAAGTTTGCAAAGTGCTTTGTAATCATTAACTTATTTGAATCTCACAATTAACACTATAAATAATATCTCCTTTTTACAAGTAAACTGAGGTTCAGAGAGGTTAAATGATTTACCTGTGATCACACAGCTACTATCAGAACTCAGGTCTTATTGACTTGAAAACTAGCACTCTCTCACAAGGATATCTCTAGGAGGTTTGCCACATGTCTTGATAAAATGCAGATTCTCCTGGTCTGTCTGTCTATTAACTGTATCAGAAAAGGCAAATAAAATTCGATTGGTATAACTTGCTGTTAAAATGCCCAGAGTGGCACCACTCTGTTGAGTACAGAATGATAAAAGTGGTCCCAGACATTTAACAGTCAGTTCCTGGATTCTGGTTGTGGTTTCCAGTACCTACCTTTTAGAAAATTGGGACGCTTCTTGTCTCCAATCTTCTGCTGATTTCTGTTTGGATGGTAATCACAGTGCTTAGTCATCATGACAAGTTCTTTTAGTACTTTGGGAAGTAAATTTGCCCCAATCTGAAGACTTGACCTCATTTGTACAAGGCTAAGTGGTACTGTATTACTATTTCTTCTTCTCTTTCTTGAGTTTCTCTTTGCCCTTTAAAAGCATTCTTCGAACTGGAAAGGGTCAGTAATGCTTGACAGAGAATCTTTTAGGAGCCCTGCTTTCTCTTTCTTACCTGTTGATATTATACAGTCTGCCTCATATGGTGAGAGGTCTGTCCCCTTTCACCTCATCATTCATCTTCCAGTTTTAAGAGGCCGTTTTTGTCTTCCTTCCTTAGCAATTGTTTGCTGGGTGGAGCCTCTTCTTCACTCTCACTTCTTGGTATGATTTCTATATCTGTCATCCTTGGTGAAAGATCTTGCTTCTGAGGTCCCTCTTTTTACAAATTTCTTTATAAATGTGAGTTCATCAGAGATTTACCCCTGTCATTTTCTAATTTCTTCAAATGCTTCCTATTTTTTCCTCAATGATTGTGCCATCAGAATTCCATGACCTCTCGAGCCATATCTTCTTCTCTGCCCATGGGATCATATGTATTTTTATTATAAACTAGTTAAAATCTGCTTATCTTAAAGTCTTAAGATAGATGTATGTCTATGTTCCGTGTTCTCCGCCTTGGCTATTATGAAATCTCACAAAATGTCATCGCTGTCTGTCAACATTCCTAGCGCTTCCACAAGACCAACCAGTTCTTGGTTGTTCTTCAGAATAAAATACAAAGTAAGAGCAAGGTGGCTCAGTATATAGACACTGAACCTGGAGCCAGTCTCATCTGAGTTTAAATCTCACCTCAGACACTTATTAGCTGTATGATCCAGAACAAGTCACTTAATTTCTGTCTCCCTCAGTTTCCTCATCTGTAACATGGTGCTAATAGTAGCACCTAACTCCCAGGGTTATCACAAGGACAAAATGAGATCATATTTATCAAGCATTTTGCAAACTTTAAAGTACTATATAAATACTAGCTATCATCATCTTCATTGTCATCATTATTATCTGCCTCCACCTTCTGAGAGATGACACTGTCACAAAAGCAAATCACTTTTGTTTTCTGCTTTTTTTATTTTTTATCTTATTTTTACTTATTTCTTTTGTTTTACACTGCCTTTATTCCTAAACATATTGTCCTCATGTCCCTTACCCAATAAATCATCCCAAGTAATTTTTAAGTAAGTTTTTAGAAGGAAGAGATAAAAAGCTCAGCAAAACTAATTAATATAGCAACCTTGTACACACAAGATTCCATCCCCATAGTCTCCTACCTCTGCAAAAAAGACTATTTTCTCAGTTTTTCCCCCAGAACTGTGCTTGGTCATTCTAGTCAATTAGCAACAGGTTTCTTTTTGTTCTTGTCTTTTACGTTGTTGTCAATGTTCAGCTTCTTCTGTTGTTGTTTCTATATCACTCGATGTCAGCACACAAAGTCTTTCCAAGCTTCTTATAGTTTTTCATATTCAGCATTTCTTAGAGTTGAGTAATATCACATTATGAATTTGTTTAGCCATTTCCCAATTCAGGGCCATCGACTTTGCTTTGACTGACTTGAGTAGAATTGCACTTCTAAACAATGTCTTGATAATTGAAATTTCCCATGGTAGGATATGCATAGTAGGTACTCAATATGTTTGTGATGATGAGAGTAACCAGATTAAGAAAGGGGCTGATGTGTGTCTCTCTAGGAGGAAGAGGACTGTTCAGAAGATGACAGCAGCACAAAGCCAGACTTCACAATCCCCATAGAAACTGACTTCTGCTTTCTGGACCAACTTGAAGATAATGCCGAGCATTTTCTTTCCCCTTTGGATGATAAGCTGCCTCCAAAAGGCAGTCAGGACATGGGACTCTCCAACCTTCATGCTGCATCGATGTATGTCCCACATCTTAAAGCTTTTTACTTTCATAAATTCTACTTTTTTCAGCTTTTTTATTAGGATAAATGTATAGACCGAAAAGATATGACTTATTTGGGGAATATCTGCATGGAACACTGGCCCTCCAGTCAAAGACCTAGGTTCAAATATCATCTTTGATGATTATTAATTGTGTGACTTCGTGGGCCTCAGTTTCCTAATGAGGGTGCTGAACAAGATGGCAGCTGAGGGGCCTTACACCTCTCCATGTAAAATCCTCTGACTGGTGCAGAGTAAAGCATGAGTTGTTTTTTTGGTTTTTTTTTTTAATTCATTAGTTAAGAGAGCTTAACTGATATTTCTTATTAGTTCCTGCTTCAACAAGCAAACAATGTTTATAAATGGCCCCACATGGCTTCACAATTTGATATATCCCAAGTACAAATCCCCTCTGTTTTTGTAAAGCAAAATATGGCAAAAGTCAACTTGGGACTTCATAAGCCCTAAGGACACTTAAAATAGCAAAAGTCTGCCATCACATCTGCTTCTGCTGACCCCAAAGTTTTATTTTCATAACTACTCCAAAACTGTCCCCATTGGTTTTCATTTTTACTGCATTACCGTGGCTTTTTTTGGTTTAATTTTTATTTTCTTTAATTTTTTAACCTCCTTAGACATGAGCTCTTAGAACAACTTCAAGAAGTGAAAGAAGAGAAGAAAAGAATTCGAAAAAAACTTCGTGATTTTGAGGATAATTTTTTCAGACAAAACTCAAGGTACTCCATTTCCCCCCTTTTCTTTCCAATCCATCTTATACTTGTCTATAGGGAGAGAAACAACCCTGGAGCTTCATTATGTATTTTCCTTGAGTCTATCTTCCAAGATGCCCCCCCCATTCTCAATAGTCTAACTTTTGCTATTTCCCTAAATGATCCCCTGAGAAATTAGGGTTCAAGAAATAAGCAAAATATCACATGCTCCTCTTTAGGCGGCAGAGTAACTAGATTTGAAATAACTTTTAGGAAACTAAGATGGCGGGTGGAGGGAGAAAGGTGAAGCACAGTGAAGAAGAGAAAGTAGCACCATAAAAAATTGTATTTAATCGATTTAAAATCATCAAAGTTGGTCTTAGAACAAAAATGATCATGAGGTCACACTGTCGTAGACCTAGAGCCAGAAGGAGCCTCAGAGGCCATGTAAATAAACCCACTCCTTTTACAGATGAGGAGGCCAAAGCCCAGGGAGGCTAAATGATTTTCCCTAGGCCACCCAGGTAATGAGTATCGGATGGGATTTGACCCTCTGACTCCAGAGCCAACACTCTTTCCATTGTACTGTGTTGTCTCTGATTACCCAAACAATAATGACACGTGCACCTTTGGAGTCCACATGTGAGGCCCCGGTCATGCAGCTTTTAGTTCAAGTGAAGAACTTATCTACAAGAAGAAGAAAGAGAACTTTGTTCTTTTTTGTTGACAGGGATTATTCCACTTCATCCTTGTGCAATTTCTACGACACATTTTAAAAGTAGACTCCATTTGGCATTCATCTGTGCTTACAGTCATATAATAAGTCAAAGGCAAAACTGCATAAGGTACCTGGATCTTTTTTTCCTTCCAGTTAAGTTTCAGCCATTACAATAGATTATTCATTCACCAGGCTGAATATCATAATCACCCCAAATTCAGGGATTTAAAAAATCCACCCTGTTCTAAGTAACAAAAAGTTTGGGGGGGACATTTTTGAAAATATTCCCATAGAATGTTAGACATAGAAGAGACCTCAGAGGTCAGCCAACCTAACCCCCCATTTTTACAGATGAGAAACCTGAGATGTAAAGAAATTACATGTACAATAGAAGATAGAAATTATGACAATAAAAATATATATTTAATTAAAATAATTCAAATTGAACTTAACACACATATATTCATTTTTGCTTTTAATTTTAAAACCATATTCTATTTTTAAAAATATACAATTTTAAAGTTCATATTCTACACCATGTTATGTTTTTTAAAAGTATACATTTTTATGCTATCCACATCTAGAGAAAGAATTTTAGAGTCTGAATGCAGATGGAAGTATACTATTTGCTCTCGTTTTCTTTTGTTTTGTTTTGTTTCTTCTTTCTCATGGTGTCTGCTGTTCTACTTCTTGATGACTAATGTGAAAATTAATTAATTAGTTAATTAAAATAAAAAGCAATGACCATCAAAAAAAATGAGCCACATATTTTCCTAGGGACTTACCTGTTTCTGGAAAGCACACTCACATATACACACAGATGATGACAGATATATTAGGAAGTATTACTCAAAGAAATGAAGTGGGGAAATGGGGGAAATAATAACATTTTTAGAGTTCATATTCTGCATATAGCTTAAAGTTAAAGGGAAGAATTTATCTAAGTAAAATGTAAACCAAGTATCTAAGTACAAATGTAAATAAGGTGTTCTTTTTTTAAACTAACCAAAATCCCCTTAGAGACTTGGGTTAATGTCAGCTGTTCCTGGTTTGCATTAATTATTGGAAAGACATGTAAAATAAAATACAATCCCTGTGTAGTAAAGAATTTTATAGGGGGAGGAAAGGAAAGAAACTAATATAGTCTCTCCCTTGTATTTCCACCAGAAACGTCCAGAAGGAAGACCGCACTCCAATGGCTGAAGAATATATTGAATACAAACATGTGAAGGCAAAAATAAGGCTTTTGGAAGTACTCATCAGCAAGAGAGACATTGATTTAAAGATCATGTAAAAAAGTGCACTCCTTCAGAAAAGACTCGGTTGGATTGAGTTATTGAAGGAGCCTTCACAAGGCAGTCAGCAGTTCTTTCTGAAACCAAGAAATCCGGTGGTGTGGCGTGTAAAGGACAGCTCTGGTCATGCTCCAGTCCTTCACTTACGTATTGTCTACTGAGAAAGAAACTTTTGTTTAGGAATGTTGTGTCCGAGTCAACATTTATGCACATACACACACATTTCACTGTGGTGCAAACTTCACTAATATTAGCTATTCCATCATTAAGTTTAGATACACTAATCCTACACATGACCCACAGTTGTTCAACATTCTGAGAAACACAAAGAACTGTTCCATTTCACTATGATAAAAAGAAGCTCAGGACTTTGATTCACTTACAGTCTGCATGCTGTAGAGTTTTCTGTTCTCTTTGGACCCAGTCCAGCTAAGTGTTTCTGTGAAATAGCCCGGTATGCTGCCTTGGCTTTCATTGTGACATTTTAAATAGCACTATGCCATCCGCCATCTTTGTGCATGGCTCGACTTTTACTTCAGCTCAGGTAGATGGCAGCTCAGACCAGAATAACAAATACTCTCTTGATTGGTATTTTTCTTTCATATTTCTTCAACTGAGCAATAGATTTCATACCTTGGCTGTGACTGGGCAGCATCCAGCAGCCCAGAGAGGATAATGGGAAGACAGCAGAGGCAGTGACAGTAGTTGTATTGGCTTCAGGTACCTGGAATGATACCTGAGAATTTATTTCTCTTTCTGTGATAGGTTAAAAAAACTAAAAGTCCTCATTTAGCATTGACTCAGGCCACTCACATGACTATAGCAACTACAGTTTATGTCTGTTGTTTTCTTTTTATTAAAAAATAAGATAGACAGACATACTGGATTTTTACTTTCAGTGACTAGGTATGGGATGAGAGGTAGGCCTCTGTTCCTGCTTTCCTGAGTTTAAGGCAAACATGGGCTTATAATAGGAAGCCAGAAACTGAAGAATTAATTATTTCTTCAAAGTTGATCTACAAGGCAGAATATTATTCATATCATTTTCAGTGAAAATATGTAGGTAGGAGAAAGTCTATAGCTGATACGTTTTCATTATCGGGTTATTATCTTTATTGGAGAATGTTCGATGAAGCCATCGCCATTGGCTGGCTTGTTAGGACCAGGCAATTAGAAGACTTTAAATCATCCATTTCAAAAGTTGAAATTTTAAGTGTGACAGTTCACCCTGTGATTTATCAACTTTTCTCATTATCCTCCATATTAACGAAGACCACGCTATGGTTCATACTCCTCCCAAATCTAGGAAGTGTGCTTTGGAAGAACTATAATAGGTTTCCGATGCATGAACTGGTTTTTTCCTCTGAAGAGAGCATTTAATGGATGAACATGCCTGTCTCTTTTAGAGAGCTGTCCTTTGAATTGACACAACAGTTCTTAAAGCTAATTGATCCAAAGTGTGGATTTCTGATGTTAACTTTGCCAAACTACTTTCATCAATGACACTCTAACCTCAAAGTGGCTTTTGTCCATTTCTGTCAGTTAGTTGAAGAATTACTAAGAGATGGAGAGGAGTGTTAAGGGAGGGAAGGATCCTTTTTTTGATGAATGTAAGCGTGAGCTCTGTACTAATAATTTCCCCATTTTAACTCCCTATACAATGACAGTGCATAGCCAAAAGGTTAATTGTGAAATTCTAAATTAAAAAATGAGACTAGACGTAGATAATGATTCTGGATGCTTTCATTCACTGTTTGTATGACAGATTGTTATAATTCCAAAGATTTAGAGCTTAAGAGATATAATGTATTTTAATGATAGCTTCTATTTTTTGAAATTGAATGTGATTAATAATGAATTCTACATAATCAAAATTGTATTTTTAAAGAAAAAAAATTTTGCCTCTAAAAAAACCCCTTAAATATGAGGGAATATTGATTGGAGTATATTACTATTTAACTTATTATGACAGAGAATATCTTTAAGGAAACCTATAGGAAAAAGAAACCTTATATAACTAAATTATAAAACTCCAAACACCAAATGGTAAGAAGACTGATGTTACTGACATAGCTAAATGAACATTATAAATTAACAAATTTTCATTTGGTTATTAAGTAGGCCAAAAAATCAGTAAAATAAATCCTCATTTTTAGTTCTGATTTCCACTTTAATTTGTAATCATTCAAATACTTAAGCTTATAGAGCCCAATTTTTAAAAATTGTTTTTAAAATAGCTCAAAACTTATTTGTAGACATGTTACATGCTGTGCTGGTATGTAAATAAAATAGTTATGAGACAAACTTGTTTCTGTTGCAACACAGTTTGCAAAGAGTTATATCGTGATACGAGTTATATTATTTGACTTTGCATGGACGAGAGCAGCGTCGGGTGAGTTATTTTTTCTTTTGCTCTTTTGGAAATGTGCATGTTTATTACCAAATACCGACATAATAAAAATCTTCAAGATGAATAATAATTAAGAAAAAAATAAAATTAAAATAATGATTAATTATGAGAACTCAGGATGGCAAAGGCTTATAATTTTCACAAGAAGCAAATATGTGCAAGATTTTAGTAAAGGCTATTTCAAAATACAGACAGAAGAGTATTATTTATGTAAGGAGAAAGCCTGACATCTTTGTGCACGTTTGTTAGCTTCAAGTTCAAAGAATGTTTGCACAGAAGAACACCAACTCGAGCCAAACTTGAAAAATAAAATGAAAAGATCTGTTTGTTTGCCTTTGAAATATCATGTCATGAACAGATTGGGTGAGACTGTGTCTTGCTTCTGGATGATTGCTTGAATTGACAAGGGAAAAGGGTCATTGTAGTTACTCACAGGTTAGACATGGTCTGATCTGTAATCTCCATTTAAAGAATGGAAGTGTAGCTGTGTGACCCTGGGTAAGTCACTTAACCCCAATTGCCAAAAAAAAAAAAAGAATGGATGTGGTTGATGAGGTTCTTCGGGAAACTGTCCAGATAGCAAGTATATGTGCACTTAAGAGGAGGTCCCATGGATGGCTGGTACAAGTTGTGCATTTTGCTTCAGTATCTCAGCATTTTACATGGAGTACAATATTTGTACCTCTAAGGGATTAAAAGTTTTCTAATGAGGATGAACTTGCTGTGCTTTCTACATGCCTTGCTAAACTGTGTTACGAAAGGAAAATTTAAATTCGTGTCTCATGGGATTTCTGTATGATTGCATATCCAATGCCTATTTTATAAATAAAAGTATCCACAGATTACTTCAAATATGTAAGAAGGTGAGGAAAAAATGAGAATGTTGTCATCATTGCTAGGTTTGGGATACAGTGCAATTAGGTGGAATGCCTTTAATATTGGAGGTGCCATTTTTCTTACATAAAAATCATTTATTGTATTTTTGACTTGCTGACTTGGAAGCTAAGCTAGGTTTGGGCTATTTAATATATCATCAACTGGAGTTAACTATTTAGAACTATTTCTAAAAGTACCTCAGAATCTTTATTTTAGTGAAATGTCAATCTGATAAAATATGTTTTACAGTCAAAATCATAATTTTTCTGATGACAGTAAAGCTTCCTTTTCCTTATATACTGCATCTTGGTTTTATTGTTTGGCCTAAATAAGAAGAGTATTTTAAAGATGTTTTAAAAGAAAGAAAGAAAAAAAGAAACCAGGCTCCCTAATACCACGATGTCCAGCCATCAAGCTCAAAGGGAAAGGGACAAACAGACAGATAACTCTATCTTGTTGCAAAATAGTTTTATAAAAAGCCCGAAGTTTGTCAGAGCATCCTTTCCCAAGTTTGTTTTTTAAAGTCCTATTTTTTTCTCTAGACCTCAACCTATATGTTTTTAAGAACTAAGGTTTGGGCAAAAGCTTGCTAATGTTATTATTCTCTGCATAACCAAGTTTCTTCTAATGATAGCTTTTTAAGGAACTGGTAGAATAATAATGCCATACAACATGTGTAGCTCAGGATCTATGACCCCAAGTCTTGAAAGCTCCCAGGCTTCCTCACTTCCCAACTATCCATTCTCTTTGGTCATCTGCATGTACTTGGAACACATGCTTTATAAGGATGGTCAATGGGGACTGATAGAAATCAAGCTAATCCCATATAGGCATGAGTGTAAAATACAAAAATGTATGTATATACATATGTATATATGTGTGTGTATATATGCATATATACATATATATGTCCATTTTCTTGAATGGAGATTCTGGTGGTATGTATAGATATTCATGTTTCTCCCCAGAATTCAGAGGCTTAGACGCACGGATTTGTAAAATTAGTTTGGCAGACTTCATTCTCTGTCTGAAAACAAATTATGTGATCATGCAGATAATGACCTGAACAAAGGATAAAATTTTAGGAAATGTGGGCCCAGAACTGTTTATGTGACATGTCAAATTTGAAATTACCATGTGTATTTTTAAAATGTAAACTGAATGAAAGATGTGTACATTTTTGTACATGATTGTATTTTGTACAAAATTAAAGAGAGTATTTTTACCTCTGTGAGCATCTGGAAATTGGATGGTATCAAGAATATTTGAGGAAATAATGTTGTTTACTCATACCTAGAAGCCACAAATTGTGGCTCAGACCTGAGGTCTATGTACAAATTTGCATATTCCTTTGAACAGAATGTAAGCTTGTTGAAAGCAACAACTATTTTTTATGTTGTATCTGTATTCCCAGGGACTCAGAGAGTGCCTCACACAGAGCCATAGCTCTCTGAAGAGTCTCATGAAAATTTATTTTCTTATACTTGATTTTTAGTGATTCATAGAGGAGCAGCATTATTAGAGGACAGTGCTTGTATTCCAGGTTTCCCTTCCCTGTGGACTGCTCCCCCTCCCCCTTTTAGGAGTAGATGACAAGAGGGGGAAAAATAGGACTATTAGTCTCCAAATTTTCAGAATTTGGGTTGTGTGATGGGGGAAAACATTTTAACTATGCAAGAGGGAAATTTCCTTTAAGTTATGCCTTTGCTAATGCCATGGTTCTGGTGAATCTGAGTCACCCCAAATACTAGTAGTTCCAGGACAAATGATCAAAATGATTTTTCTACATCTCTCTTGTCTCTCTGTCTCTCTCTCTCTCTTCCTCTCAGTCTCTCTCTTCCTCTCTGTCTCTCTCTCTCTCATTTGAAAATAGCTTTTAGAAAATTTTTATTTTATGCAGGCTATGTGGTGAATTGTAGAATTGTCCTCAATGCATGTTGTCTCGTTGTCATTATCTTTAATGAAATTATTAATTGTTTCTGTGATTTGTTCTTTGACCTACTCATTCTTTAGGATTAGATTATTATCCAGTTAATTTTTAATCAATGATTCCAAGGTCTTATACTGAATATAATTTTTATTGCATTATGGTCTGAAAAGTGTGTACTTCTGCATTTGTTTCTGAGGTTTTTATGCCCTGAAACATGATCTTTTTTGTGGAGGTGCCATGTATAGCTAAGAAAAGGTATACTTCTATTTCCTTGATCTGTCATATCTAACTTTTCTAAAATTCTGTTCATCTCCTTAACTTCTTTCTTATTTTATGGTTAGATTTATCTAGCTCTGGTAAGAGTAATTGAGGTCCCCCACTGTTATAATCTTACTAGCTATTTCCTCCTGTAATTCATTTAACTTTTGCTTTAAGAATTTGGATACTATGCCTTTTGGTGCATATATGTTCAGTGTTGTTATTCATTGTCTCTGGTACCTTTTAGCAAAATGTAGTTTCACTAATTATCTATTTTAATTAGGTCCATTTTTGCTTGTGTCTGAAATCATGATTGCTACCCATCCCTTTTTTTATATCAGTTGAAGCATGATTGATTCTGCTCTGGATGCTTATTTTAATTCTTTGTGTTCCTGTTTGAAGTGTTTCTTGTAAAGAACATATTGCTGGATTTTGATTTCTAATCCATTCTGCTCCCTTCTTCCATTTTATGGGTGAGTTCATCCCATTCACATTTGCAGTTATGATTATTATTTCCATCCTATTCTGTCACTCCTGGAAATCATTCCAACGTGTAGGAACTGACATGAGACTGTGCACCACAGAAAGAAAAGGTTCCAGTCCCATAAACTGGGGGCCTAATCTTGTGCAGTGTTTATAAACGGGCCATTTGGAAGTTCTATCATTCACTACCCAATTCTAGGTCAGAGATCTGGGGCAGACTGAGGAGGGAGCCTGCACCTAAGGGTGGTATTCCATAGAGAGGAGTAGTCATAGACCCTAGGCAATTTACTGAGCAAGAAGCAAGTTTAGAAGCAAGGAGTAGCTGTGTGTATCTGACTACAAGAGTGAAGCAGAGTCTCAGTTCCAGTCACCAGACCACTTTTGAAGTTTGCAGCAGAATAACCAAGCTACAAAACTCAGACACAAGGGGAGTCTACAATTCTATCACTCTGAACCTGCAGAACTTTCCAGTTGCTCAGTCCAGCTAATTAATCTACTGTAACTTCCAGCCAGAGGGCAATCCAACAGGAGGGAAGACCCAAATTCAGGTCAGAAAATATAGATCTCAGAAGAGGAGTCAACCAAGAGACTTTGTCTTAGATCATATCACAGAGGGAGCACTGAAGGCTTGCAAGTTCTCAGCCTGAGCTGCCTCTGAAATCCTGTGAATAATGCAGTACTCAATATCCCCAAGAAAGCAGCTGGAGTACAAAAAGTTCAGTCAAAAAAAGGCAAAAACTCTGGCCAGAACTTCTCTCTAGAGGTGTGCAGAGTTCAAAGTTGGAAGTATAGAACCAAAGCAACCCAAAAAAAAGGAAAGAAAAAATAATTCTTCCATAAAGAGCTATTATGTTACCAGACATGCGATACACAAACTCAGAATAAGAAAATTACTCCAAAACATCGAAAAGAAAAACTTCAAAGAAAAACATAAGGGGAGGGGGAGTCAAAATGGCAAAGGACATGCTAAAATCCAGCTGAACTCTCCCAACATTCCCCTCTAAACAACTTTAAAATAAAGCCTCAAATAAAAATCTGGAGTGCAGAGCCAACAAAAGGTCAGGGTGAGACATTTCTCCAGCTGAAGACAACTTAGGACATTGACAGGCGAGGTCTGTGACATGGGTGTGGAGACCTGTCCAGAGCACAAGCATGTGGCAGCAGCAGCAGCAACAGCAGTTTTGGGAGCTCTCAGCCCAGAGATGGTAAGGGGATCAGAAAACTGGTCAGAAAGAGATAACAGACAACTCTTCGCTGGCACTGGGTACAACTGTCAGTGATTGGTAACTCTATTGCCCATAAGCAGTTCTGGGTAACAGTTCCAGGGCAAAGAGTAGCACTTATGATCAGTCACAAGGGAGCAAGGGTCCTAGTTGCAGTTGCAACGCAAGAGGGAGTATTAACACGTGTGGGTACAAGAAAGCACAGGCCTTGGTCACAGTTCCAGGGCAATAGAAGCACTAGCATTTGTAGCTGCAGGGGAGCAGGGACCCTTTCTGGGTAAAGACCAGAGCACAGAGTAGGAGAGCATTGACCACACTTCTCTCTGCATCACACAACCTTGGAAGAACCAAAAACTTGCAGACCTTCAGAACTAGCTCTGTTAACAGCAGCATGAAAAAGCCTGAGGCTTGGGACAGTGCCTTCCCACACCCAGGTGGGCAGAGTCCAACTTTAACATAAAGTTCAGAGTCAAGAAATAGGCTGAAAAAATGAGCAAAAAAAAAAAAAGAACTTGACAATTAAAAAAACCTACCAGGAAGGGAAGACCAAGACACAAACTCATAGAAGACAACAAGCCTCGAAGCAAAACCTCGAAGAAAAATATTAATTGGACCCAAGTCCAAGAAGAATTCTTGGAAGAGTTGAAGAAAGAGATAAGAATGTTAGAGAAAAAAATGGGAAAAGAAATAAGAATGATGCAATAAAAGTATGAAAGGAGAATTATCAGTGGTAAAAGAGGCACAAAAAAATTCTGAAGAAAATAACACCTTAAAAAACAGAATTGACCGAATGTAAAAGAGACACAAAAATTCACTGAAGAAAGGAATTCCTTTAAAAGCACAATAGCCCAAATGTAAAAGGAGGTACAAAAGCTCACTGAAGAAAAAAAATTCCTAAAAAATAGAACTGGGTAAATGAAAGCTAGTAACTCCATGACTCATCAAGAAACAATAAAACAAAATCAAAAAGATGTTTAAAAATAGAAAATATTTCATTGGAAAAAACAACTTACCTGTAAAATAGATTGAGGAAAGATAATTAAAGAATAATTGGGCTACCTGAAAGTCATGATCAAAGAAGAGAGCCTAGACATCACATTTCAAGAAATTATCAAAGAAAACAGCTCCAGTATCTTAGAACTAGAACTAATAGAAATTGAAAGAATCCACTGATTACCTCCTGAAAGATGAAAACTCCCAGGGATATTTTAGCCAAATTCCAGAGCTCCCAGGTCAAGGAAGAAATAAGAAAGAAACAATTCATACATCATAAAGCCATAGTCAGGTTAACACAAAATGTAGCAGCTTGGATCAAAGGGCTTGGAATATGATATTCTGGGGGGCAAAGGAGCTAGGATTACAAGCAAGAATCACCTACCCAGCAAAATTGAGTATAACCCTTTGGGAGGGGGAAGATGTATATTTAATGAAATAGAGGAAGTTCAAGCATTCTTAAAGAAAAGACCAGAGCTGAATAAAAAATTTGACATTCAAATACAAGACTTAAGAGAAGCATAAAAAGGCAAACATGAAAGAGTAAATGTAAGAGACTCATTAAAATTAAACTGATTGCATTCCTATATGGGAAGATGATACTTGTAACTTCTAAGAACATCATTGTTATTAGGTCAATTAAAAGGAATCTACATAGACAGAGGACATGAGTGTCAGTCAATTATGTTGGGATGATCTCCAAAAAAATAAATGCACTGGGAAAAGGGGGAAGGAGAAATAGGATAATTAAATTTTTCCTCACATAAAAGAGGCATGTAAGGAAGAGCTTTTATAATAGAAGGGAAGGGGGCAATGCTTGAACCTCACTCTCATCAGAACTGACAAAAAGGGAACAACATTATTATAACACAAATAGTTGAGTATAGAAATCTATTTGTCTCAATAGGAAAACAGAGAGGAAGAGGATAAGAGAAATAGGTGGGGTGGGGGAATGATAAAAGGGAGGGCCAGTTAAAGGAGGCAATTGTCAGAAACAAAACAAATTTTTGAGAAGGGACAAGATAAAGAGAGAGAAGGATAAAAATAAGAAAATAGGATGGAAGGAAATATAGTTAGTCATCATAAATGTGCACGTGAATAGGATTACCTCACATAAAATAGAAGTCAATAGCACAATGAATTAGAAACTAGAATCTAACATGTTGTTTACAAGAGATATACTTGAAATAGAAAGACACACACAAGGTTAAAATAAAAAGCTAGAGCAGAATCTATTACACTTTAGCTGAAGTTAAAAAAAAAGGTAGGGTATTAATTATGATCTTAGAAAAAAACAAAAGAAAAAATAAGTCTAAAAGATAATCAGAAAGTATACTTTATTAAATG